CAACGCCTCCTGTATTTACTAGCTTTCGTTTTCGGAAGCCTACCGGTTTGATGATGGACGCACACACACTGTGCGCACATTAAGTCTCATCGACAACAGAAACAGAAGCTTCGAAATGAAGGAATGCACTGAGCAATCGGTGCCAGTAAACTCCTATGTTATGAACGAAATTGTCCCGAGCTGCCGATGTAATTGGGCGTAGCCAGCCGAGGCATTAAGGGGCACTAACTCGCCATCCTATCCACCGGGAGAAAGCAACCAGGGTTTCTCGCGGAACCGCTACCTGCCCCAATAATTAGTCTCTGCCCGGCCGAAGGGTTCCACAGTTCGAATTGTCGGCGAACCATCGCCGTGCTGGTCTTGCTCTCGCTCGATCTGCCTCATTCGGTTCTCAGAGTTGCTCTCAAATCAGAAATCGAACCACGAACTCATTCGTCCGACAGGGGACTGACGACTGGGCGCTTCATGAAAATCCTCCCGGCGGCAGATAAATTCTCAAAAATCGATATCGAAGCCGTTTTCCCCATGTTTCCTCTTTTAAAATCCGGTACGGGACAGAGGATCGAAGGATGAACAGAAAATGCATCGAGCAGACATCGGAATATCGAACAGCTTCTGGCAAGCCGAGTGAGAGAGAGCGAGAGAGAAGCATTTGTCAGGGAACAATGCAATGCGCCACAGTTAACTAATGGAGGCCCCCGGCTTGGACATTCTCGGGGTCGATACGCGGCCCCCCAGGACGGAATGAAGCGATCTGAAAATGTCATCTGAAATGGTCAATGTTTCTTGCGGTCGTCGTCGTCTTACGTACGACCGAAAACGCGAACGACCAGCGAGACGGCACAAAGAATAGAAGAGAAAAACCATCGGAGGGAAGAAGCTCCGGCCAGTAACCAGCCAATCCGATAGATGGGCAGGCAGGCAGACCGATCATCCGGCGGACCGACCGACCGACTGAGGTAGAGCCCCCTGGCTTGCTGAGAAACAATGCATTGTTGTCTGAGGGATTCATTCCGACGGTCTCTTCGATCACGGCAGAATAGAAAAAGCGGAGCAAGCTGATCTTACTTTCCAAACCCCCGAGGAACGCGTCGAGAACGCCATCGCGGTGCCGTAGCGCCGTCGCTAGCTGCTTCGGGCACTCGACGACTGTCCTCTCATTCGAGCCGTGGTCTGGCTAGGATTCGAGCTCGGAGGCACAGAGGGCACCGGCGAATTAGAAATCCTCCCGAGGAATCGCAAAAATTGAGAGGACAGCCGACGTGAGGGATCGGAGGCGGCGAATGGCACGATTGGTCGCGAGAAGAGATATAATAGAGGAATAAAAACTGAAGGGGAGAAGCAAACGCCAAAGACTTCTGAAGCCGTCGATCGGAAGATGGAACGATGGGCTTTTCGCCCTTTACCAACCAGCAGCAGAAGTCACAAAAGAGAAGCTCATCTGTATCGGTTCTCTGTTTTTCCCACTCGGCTCTGTCCCCGATACGATTTTTCCATCGATGCAAGGTGAAAAAAATCAATCCGCACCAGAAGACCGTCGTATCGCTGGAAGTTTTTGTTCCCATCCCGCAAAGAGGATCCCGCGTGAGGCTCACTTCCCCGCTTGTATCCTCTCCGCTACCTCGGGTGCTGCTCTGACGACTCTATTCAGCGGAGTATCCGGGCGCTGATTCCTCTGACGCCAGGCTTCTCGGTCCTCTGGCCACGGCGGGGTTCGCCCCCAAAGCCCCAGGATGTCCGTCGACGAGTTCTCTGATTCGACATTGTAGGACACTCGGGCGCGAAGACAATGTCATTTTGTAGAGATGGATCGGACGGCTTGTGTGACTAGCGTACGGCCCAGTGACCACTAGACGTCCTTATTCGTTTTTTCCTTCCCGGCTCCATTCCCGCGCAGCGCTCTGCTCGCTCACTGTTTCGCCTTACTTTCCGTCCCTCGATCCCTTCTTCTCATCAACGTCCTCCGGATCGTCATCATCACCATCATTATTGTGAAGATTGTTATCCTCGGCCCTGCTCCTCTGATTGGCAGACTCGGCGTGCTCCTGAATGTCCTCATCTCCATCAATGTCTCCTTCATCGTTGTCGGTACCGCGGCCATTTCTGAGTGTTCGCACGAGCAACCACGTGTCGGCTTCCAGGGCCCGAAACCGCGGCTGCGGAACTTTCTCCGTCGGTCCCGTAATGATGTCCTGGCTTTATGGAATCGTCCCAAAACAAAGAGGGAGATCGGGCCGTCTCGCTCCTCGAGAGGACCGTCAACTCCTCAGGGCACGTCCATTCAGGAAAATCTGGGAGCTGAATATTTCCCATTCGACAGGAAGTTGAGATGCAATTCTCTGATTCGATTCCGAGCGCGTCCGATCGAGTGTGCGAGCGATCGAGTCAAGAGAGGAGTGACCCGAAAGAAGAATTCCCCAGTTCGCCTCGCCGGCCGACGCTCATTTCGGTGGTTTTGTCTTTTCCATCATTTCTCGCCATCCACGATCGGAAAGATCTCCGCGAACGAGCGAATGGTGAAGCGAAACAAGCAGCCCGGCTGGCCGGTTCTTCAGTCAGTCGGTGAGCTCGCCAGCCCTCCGGGCGCTTGGCTGACCCACTTGCAATACGTCTGGGCCGCGAGGTCTACCCTATCGAAGGAGACGTCGACGACGACGACGACGACCAGCACCGCCACGACCAAGATGACTATGATGGAGGAAAAAGCTGAAGAAGAACCGTGGCAGTCACCGCCGTCGTCGCAACAGCAGCAACTCTGACTACGGGCCACACATCGAAAAGAAGGAGAGGATGATTCTTGGCTTTGGCTTCCCGCGTCGTTTTTAGTTAGGACTCATGTCGCACCTCCATGAACGTATCGAGCGATGAGATTCCAGACAGTGATCTGGACCAACTGTGGGAACTTCACAAAACTCGGAACGGATATAAAAACACGCAAATAAACAAAGACAACACACACGGCAATGCCTCCGCTCACTCAGTGAGATCGGACAAATCGCTTCGACCGTTGGTCGATCGCTTCGTTCAGTTATTAACCTCATTTTTCCCTCCAAAACAGTGATAGCACTAACACTTCGCGAGGAAGCTTCGGACACCAGAACACCTGACTGTGATAAACAGCATCTGGAATCGATCTCATTCTCTCTTCACTCGGACGGAGGAATGTGTGAAGTCATCCGATGAAGCTTTCCGAGAGGATTTTTCCGAAACATTCTTCTCGCGGAGAAGCGGTATAAGTCACACACGATGGAGGGCGCGCAAACGTCTTGAAGTGCGTCGTGAATTGATGTCAGAGTGGTTTGTCGTATTTTTTCGGGGCGGAGAAAATTCCTCTTCCTCGGGCAAGAACTAGAAGTCTGCGAAGACTGTTTCGTGGTGCATCTGAACGCCGCGCCGTCATTGGCGACAGCATCGGTGCAGTCCGTCACTGAATGCCAGTTCCCGATTCCGGAAAGACAACGGTGACACCGACTGTTGCACCGGTTCTGAGACCAGCAACGATACCGATAGTAGTACCGATGCTAGGAGTACTGGTAGCGTCTGGTCGCCGGAAAATAATGAGCGCCAGCGTGGAATGTGATCACTAGACGGCGTTCCAACCATTAGTGGCGGTTGGCGGTTATTCATTCAAGTTTCGTGCTCGCTGCGCAGCTTCCGAGGATTCACCTCGGGTCAGCTGATCGACTCCGTAAGCCAGAAGCAATAAGTAGAAGCGGATTGAAAGGAACGGAGAGAAATAAAATCTCTCGCGGAGCCGTGGCTTCAGCCAGAAGCCAGGAGGATAGCAACGACTGCGGCCGCCGGGAGGAAAATCCGAGTCTGGGACGGTGGAGATAAGTGCACAGAGTTCACCTCCACTGGCCGCCTCAGTTGCTCAGTTTGGACTTTTCGGAAGTTTCGCTCAGGACTTTAAACCTCGAACGAGCTTCACGTGGCTGTTTGAGGTCGCCATCATCGATATGATCCTACGAATACGGAGTACGAAAACGATTCGACAGCACTCAAGCATTCGTCTCGAGCCCCAAGTGGTCAGTGATCTATGATAATTGATCAACAATCAGCGAACGAGAGCTAGGATTCCTCTACTGGACGAGATACGTTCAATTTCTTGACAGAGCCTAAAATGAACGCACGATTCCACTCGTCGAGAGGGAAACGTGATAGATTTCGTGTTTTCCGATGTACGCCGATTGTTTGACGATTGAAGTAGAGAACTCTGGCTTTTGCAAGGGTTTCTTTGAAGCCGAACTGGAACAAGAACAAAAGCCAGCTATGCCAGCTGAATATCTCGCGACTCCGATATTCGCGCATCGGTCGAGCATGGATTGAATAGTTCCACGTCGCACGCAACGTCGCTCATCCGCAACATCTTGAACTTGATCAAGCGATCGTTTTTCTTTCGGCTCGAGGGTCCATGTTTCGAGTCGCGCGACAGAGCAACATACGATATGGAGCCTCGGGGATCATGAAGGCTGAGTGACTCCTCTCTCTCTGAGAAGAGCCTTCCCGCCGGAAATCCATCACTCTCATTGCTTGGAACCTCGAACTTGTTCCGCGTCGGGTGAGGCGATCAGGATTGGACATGAACCGCTTCGTAGAGGGCTTGCTTCTCATTTCAGGCTCGTCTTGTCGAGTTTCGAGTTCGACCGACCCTGTTTCTATCAGCGTCTGTCCTGATTTTCTCCGCCATTCCCAATCCGATATTCCGCTTCTCCGGAATCCTGAGCTCTCCGAATTTGTGGGATTTGCGTAGGGAACACCGGTGGACTTGGCCGAGAAAGGGAGAATTTCCCCGGATTTCTCAATTTTTCCGTTGAAAAAGTGATTTCAGTCATTGGTTTCGGGAGAGAATCTCACCGTTCACAACAATTCCTGCCCGCTTCCAGGATCGTTCGAGCCTAGCACGAGCACAGTTGTCGCAACTCGAGACGTATTCTCACGAAGCATGAGCAGGCTGGCGTCATCAGCGGACACTATTTCTAATCGTAAACGATCCTTACCTGGACGGCCGAATTGAGGAAACAATTGTTCTGGCCGGGACCATTTAGCAATCCCTTCGTTCGCGTGATAGACATGGTACAGCGTGGCGTCATCATGTGTTTAAGGGCCATCTGTTGAGTCTGTTGCATGTCGTGGAGGCCTGCGGGCCCCGGAAGTCCTCCGGGCCCTGTTTTCGCGAGGCCTAAGGACATCGTCTCCTCACAGTGCACTGGACCCTATCGCGGGATTCTGAAAGGAGAAGGAGTCTCGAGCTATTAAAAATGAATTTCTCATCGGCTCGACTACATTCCTTGTTTGATTTTTTCTCGTTCGCGAAAATCAGGATCATCGAATGGAAAGTACGCCGCGGTCCCGATCGGCGAAGGTAAATCGATAGCGATGGACATTCGAACGCTGCCCTCGTCAACTGAATTCACTTTCTTGATAAGATTACAGTTCTCGCTTTCTGGAGACCTTCCCCGGAACGGACAGACGCTTGGACAGACGCCGGACGTCTGACTGACATTGATTGGGTGCAGAATACGTGCTGCGGGCGGTGACGCCGGCGTCTCTTCGATACGAACGTGTTAATGAAGGGATCGAGGCAAATGATGAGATAAAAAGCGCACGAGGAGTCGCTGTAGCCGAAAGTTGTGCGGCCCGGAACGCAGCACGGATTTTACAAGTGGAGCCCTCTATATACGGACCGGTCGCCCCAAACGCTGTCAGAGTAGCTGGCAATAAAAAATACAACCCAACGAGAAGATGTTCAACCGCAGAACTTCGACCGAAGGTTGTGTGGCTGACGCAGAAGCCGAACCGTTGTCTTCTACGGCGTAAAACGCCGAACCCACAGGGCCCACACAGGACGCTGAGAGCCTATTCATAGGCCTCTTGGTTACGTCAAGCCGACTTTAATACATGTTCACTGCTCCCCTTTTCTGAGATAGCGTCTAACGTTGAAATATCATCATCACTGTCGTTGTTGTCATCTTTGAAAAGGGGAAGGCACGGAGCATCAGCAGCAACAATAATCGGATCTGAACGAAAACTCCGTGGCACAGGGCACGGCGTCAATCGCTCGGAGACTCCGTCGTCGGTGCGCCGACCTGCTGCCGGACAAGATATCTGCGCGAACATTCACTCAAGCACACGGAGCTTTTATCCGCCAATTTATTAAATGGGCGAGAAGAACAGCGCGTGCCGGGGAACAGGTTTCGCTTTGCACTCTGTTCCAGCTGCCATTCTTTACGTGGACCGTAAATCCCAGAAGCCGTCGCATCGAGACGCCGCACGGTTTTAAGACGAGGTGACGAACGCTGGCTCGCTGACAAATCTCGCCGAGGAAATTCGACGCACAAATTTCACTTGTCGAGTATTTTATCCCGACGAAGAGCTCTTGACACTTGGCCTGAAACTTCAACAATCCCCGGCTGGCTCGCTTGCCAGAATGGGCAGCGTCTGGGCGGTGGAGAAGTTTGACAATCCATCTCCTAGACGACAGGTCCCCGCCGTAAGGAGAAAAATCAACTTCCAGAGGCCAGTGACGCTGTCTCATCGTTCTCCCGCGGTCATGTTCTCCCCGAGTTCCCCCCACGAGGAACCCGATTGTCTTCAGTGACATGGATCACATCGGCCACGTAAAAGTCCAATAATACCTGTCCGAACCTAGGTATTTGAAAACCTGTTCGACCTGACTGTCGTCGACAACCACCCCTGAAGCGTTGCTCGGCAGGAAGCTATATCGATCCAGAGGAACTGCGCGCCATAGAGCGCGACGCACGCCGACGCGCAGGCCGACGAGCTAGACGTCGATTGACAGGCTGAGCGAGCGGACGTGACGTCGAAACACAAAGACGCGAATTAGTCGATGGAATGTCGTTCGGATGATTGAGGCGTCCTAGTCAGGTGGAATTTCAGGACTGAAAATTCCCTCCGCTCAACCGAGAACAAGCGATGGCATTCACACTCAGTCAGACATGGGCTTCTACTACAACGCGAGTTGTCCTACATCGCGAGAGAGTGGGAGGTAGACGAGCCAGTGCCACCTGCGGTCTCGACAACGCTTACGACCTCAAATTATCTAGATAGATACTAAAGGCAATGATGTAGCTATTCGCGCTCCGTCGCGTCGGATGGATACTCCACGAAATCGAAACTAGAGAGGGATCAGAGCAGGGATCGAAGGGAACGAAGGACACGACAGGATCAGTCAGGGCGCTCCCCGAACCACTCCCAGAATGGGTGGAGTTCGAAAGTTTCCTTAAGCTCTGAAACAGCCTCTTTCGGGTTTTCTTTTGTCTTTCATACCGACATCGATCGACGCAGGATGACTTCGAACGATTCCTACTGTATTCTGCCATTGGAGACGCTTGCAAGCTCGTCGACACGGAGACCGCCGTCCAGGTCCAATTCGGATCATCCGTACCCGAGCACCTCGAAGACTGAAATCATATCAGCAGCTGCAGGCATAGCTCCGAACATCAAAGAGTGAGATATCCTTCAAAAGCTGTGGATGTTCCCTCATATATCGACGAATCGGGCGTATGATTCCGAGAAGTAAGTCCTCCACCACTTTGCTTCGAAAGCTTTGCGAGAAGGGAACGCCTTCGAATTTGCGAGTTATCCCACAGTTCTACAACACAAGGACAGATTGCATCGCTCCGGGACGACGACTCGAGAACATCGGTAAATATCTGTAGAGGGGGCCGCGCGCATTTGTCAAAACATAAGAGTTTGATCACGAGATTAGCCAGCCAACAGATCTGTTCAGAGAGGATTGAGTTTGCTCAGCAACCGGCTCGTCACGACGCTATTTGCAGTAGGGACTTCCCGCAGGAACAGGTGTCCTAAGCTGTCAACATCGATCGAGAGAGTCAATCTCAACAGACACTTCCCTTAGGCGGATCCTCATTTCCCTCCCGATCCCAGAGGATGGAAAGCCGTTCGCGACCCCTGCTTCGGATGACATCTGTGCCCATAAGCATCCAATACAAACAGGAAGCATACTCTCTCGGGAGTACATTCCGCTCCCTTCCCTACGTGTTTATATAGGTAGGTAGGGTAATTGCTCCTCGAAGCTGTCTGCGATTGAGTTCCATGCTTTAAAAGCATTCTCGTACGGGATTTCCGTGAGTTCGGGCTGAAGTCAATTGATCCCGATCGGAGGAACCAACATCGAAAAGGCAATCAGCATCAGAGACTCCTACGAACAGCCTGCTCGCTAACTGGTCGGTCCCGCTCCAGCATCTGACAGCGCCGAGTCAGCCCTACTCAGGACAGATGGCAAATCGAAGTTCCTACTCTTCCCTGACAGGGACGACTCTTTCTTCTTTGTCGACTCCGTTGAAAAGCCATCTAGCCAGGCGTCGACCGGCTTGCCTGGTCGGCTTTCGCCCGTCTGCGCGCTTGCCCGCCTGCCTGTACGGAAGTATCTGGTCGGCGGCGGAAAGGCGAAGATTGTCGGACTGGTGTCGGTCGCGGGACCATTGAATAGATCGCTGCTGCGCCGAACACACAGAATGAATTCCACAACAACACCCCCTCCCACAAATTCCCTCCTGATTTCCTGGCTCCCGTCCACGAATCGTCCGTTGCTTCTCTCAATCCACCGACCGGTCCTCGGTCGTTGTCATTCCTCGAGTAGTCAACCATCTACCTATCCTGGAGTCCCGGAGTCCTGACAACCGATTTCGAAAGCTCGTCTTACGAAGTCGACGGAGAAGACGAGTCGCTGCGGCGGCCGCATCGGCAGCCCGCCGGAGCCGCCGTTGTCTGCGATGACAACAAGTCGAAGCCACACGCAGCAAAGGCGTTCCGGAGTTCTGGATCGACACTTACAGACTGTTGACCTGAGACCTGCGCGAGTACAACTCCAAGCTGTGGCTTCATCCCCCGCTTTTCCAGCGGACAGTCCACGTGTTCTTCTCGTCTTTATTCTCTGTTTTTCTCTCTCCCCTCGAATGGTTGTTGCTCGCCAGCTTTTTCCAGGGAAATCTTTTGTGACACCACCATCAAAACAGTCTCTGGCGTTCGTTTCCCTGAACTTTCCGTCTTGCCGATTTCGAATCCGGAACGGCAGCGTTGCGTCGTCGGTCGTCTCCACGGAGGAAACGCCTCGAACCGCCTGCCGGAGGACGACGGCGATTTTAACCACTACGATGATCCGGGAATATCGTCGGATCGCGAATTACCTTTCGGAGATTCAATGAATTAATTATAGTCAGAACCCCTCTCATATTCGGGCATCGAGACAACAGTTTCTACTCGGAGAACCGGAATTCCGTACCTCCATCCCGTACTCGGACCATCGGACGCGAAATCCCCGAATGAACTCCGCTCTCGTCCGCCAGCCGTGACCCGAGCGCGTGCTTGGTCCACGACCTGATGGAAAGGGCAGTCATGTCCTAGACCACGGCCGATCCTCGTTTCCCACCACTCCCATTCGGGCGTGCGGCCACGTCTGTGGATTGCCGCGGCAGAATCGCCACCATGGTCGAAAAAGATTGTTCTGCTACTTTCGAAATAATTCGAGTGCCCATTTTCTAGGCTCCGTGGATCTTCCGGATCTGGCACTCTCAACGAGAGCTCACTTCTCCAAAGTCTGATGATGATGACCCAATCACGGAAACAGTCATTTCTCTTCCGATAAAGAGCCCGGGTCGACGTGTCCCAAAGACATCGATTCCAATTATTATTGAGAACTGGATCTCCGACGGAAGGAAACCTTGGAAATCAGCCATGTGCCTCGAGATAAGATGGTGGCAGTCAGCCCTTTTGAAGCCGAAGAGGCCATTCCACTCTGATCTCTTTTTTTGTTTTAGGATTCAGCCCACCAATCTGGCCAGGGCCACGAGCGGCATCGGTTCTCAACCCTCAATGATAGCGCAATAATTAGGTGAACCTGATGCGTTGGACACGACTACCGGAGCATTCCCTCGTATCGGACGTACTACCGCAGATTCCCGTTCATCTGACACGAATAACGACAGATAACTAGCGGAAGTTGCGTCGATGAGCTTGTCAACAACAAAGAAAGCCCTTCAACGTCGGTAGCTTCCTGTCGCCCGCAGCTACCGAGCGGCAAGCGACTGGTTAATCGGCTGACTGAGCCCGCGGCGATTCGGCGAAAAAAACACTGTAAGCAGAAATCATTACGATTTCTATTGATCATGTACGGCGGCGCTGATGGCAATTACTCGAGATTAGCGCAAACGAGCTTGCCTCCGAGAAATCATCAAAGCAACAAC